GGAATACCTAAGCAACAGGAGACAACGAGTCTGTGTGAGGGGTGAGGTCTCAGATTGGCGAGACGTCACAAGTGGAGTCCCGCAGGGGTCAGTCCTTGGACCTATACTGTTTCTGGTATATGTAAATGATCTCCCAGAGGGTATAGATTCGTTCCTCTCAATGTTTGCCGACGATGCAAAAATTATGAGGAGGATTGAAACAGAGGATGATAGTAGGAGGCTACAAGATGACCTGGATAGACTGAGTGAATGGTCCAACAAATGGCTGTTGAAGTTCAACCCGAGTAAATGCAAAGTAATGAAACTAGGCAGTGGAAACAGGAGGCCAGGCACAGGATACAGAATAGGAGATGAAGTACTTAATGAAACAGACAGAGAGAAAGATCTAGGAGTTGATATCACACCAAACCTGTCTCCTGAAGCCCACATAAAGAGAATAACGTCTGCGGCATATGCGAGGCTGGCTAACATCAGAACGGCGTTCAGGAACCTGTGTAAGGAATCATTCAGAATCTTGTACACCACATATGTAAGACCAATCCTGGAGTATGCGGCCCCAGCATGGAGCCCGTACCTTGTCAAGCACAAGACGAAGCTGGAAAAAGTCCAAAGGTATGCTACTAGACTAGTCCCAGAACTAAGAGGCATGAGTTATGAGGAAAGGCTGCGGGAAATGCACCTCACGACACTGGAAGACAGAAGAGTAAGGGGGGACATGATCACAACCTACAAAATCCTCAGGGGAATCGACCGGGTAAACAAGGATGAACTATTCAACACTGGTGGGACGCGAACAAGGGGACACAGGTGGAAGCTGAGTACCCAAATGAGCCACAGAGACGTTAGAAAGAACTTTTTCAGTGTCAGAGTAGTTAGTAAATGGAATGCATTAGGAAGTGATGTGGTGGAGGCTGACTCCATACACTGCATGCTGTATCCACTACGCTATACTTCAAAGCCATAAGAGAGGTAGGAATTCTGGGGTATTTAACCAACCAGAAATTCCAATCCTCTCCCAGGCGATGAGATAGTGTGGGACCTCGGATGCTCTTTCATCGGTTCCTGTTATATGGGAAAACTCAGTGCCAAATGCTTAATGCACAGACTACCCTATTCCAGTAGCTGAAGTTTAGAACTTTTTAGACACTCAACCCACCAGGAGACTCGAACACTGGCCAACAAGGTGGCAGTTGCATGCTGTATCCACTACGCTATACTTCAAAGCCATAAGAGAGGTAGGAATTCTGGGGTATTTAACCAACCAGAAATTCCAATCCTCTCCCAGGCGATGAGATAGTGTGGGACCTCGGATGCTCTTTCATCGGTTCCTGTTATATGGGAAAACTCAGTGCCAAATGCTTAATGCACAGACTACCCTATTCCAGTAGCTGAAGTTTAGAACTTTTTAGACACTCAACCCACCAGGAGACTCGAACACTGGCCAACAAGGTGGCAGTTGCATGCTGTATCCACTACGCTATACTTCAAAGCCATAAGAGAGGTAGGAATTCTGGGGTATTTAACCAACCAGAAATTCCAATCCTCTCCCAGGCGATGAGATAGTGTGGGACCTCGGATGCTCTTTCATCGGTTCCTGTTATATGGGAAAACTCAGTGCCAAATGCTTAATGCACAGACTACCCTATTCCAGTAGCTGAAGTTTAGAACTTTTTAGACACTCAACCCACCAGGAGACTCGAACACTGGCCAACAAGGTGGCAGTTGCATGCTGTATCCACTACGCTATACTTCAAAGCCATAAGAGAGGTAGGAATTCTGGGGTATTTAACCAACCAGAAATTCCAATCCTCTCCCAGGCGATGAGATAGTGTGGGACCTCGGATGCTCTTTCATCGGTTCCTGTTATATGGGAAAACTCAGTGCCAAATGCTTAATGCACAGACTACCCTATTCCAGTAGCTGAAGTTTAGAACTTTTTAGACACTCAACCCACCAGGAGACTCGAACACTGGCCAACAAGGTGGCAGTTGCATGCTGTATCCACTACGCTATACTTCAAAGCCATAAAGAGAGGTAGGAATTCTGGGGTATTTAACCAACCAGAAATTCCAATCCTCTCCCAGGCGATGAGATAGTGTGGGACCTCGGATGCTCTTTCATCGGTTCCTGTTATATGGGAAAACTCAGTGCCAAATGCTTAATGCACAGACTACCCTATTCCAGTAGCTGAAGTTTAGAACTTTTAGACACTCAACCCACCAGGAGACTCGAACACTGGCCAACAAGGTGGCAGTTGCATGCTGTATCCACTACGCTATACTTCAAAGCCATAAGAGAGGTAGGAATTCTGGGGTATTTAACCAACCAGAAATTCCAATCCTCTCCCAGGCGATGAGATAGTGTGGGACCTCGGATGCTCTTTCATCGGTTCCTGTTATATGGGAAAACTCAGTGCCAAATGCTTAATGCACAGACTACCCTATTCCAGTAGCTGAAGTTTAGAACTTTTTAGACACTCAACCCACCAGGAGACTCGAACACTGGCCAACAAGGTGGCAGTTGCATGCTGTATCCACTACGCTATACTTCAAAGCCATAAAGAGAGGTAGGAATTCTGGGGTATTTAACCAACCAGAAATTCCAATCCTCTCCCAGGCGATGAGATAGTGTGGGACCTCGGATGCTCTTTCATCGGTTCCTGTTATATGGGAAAACTCAGTGCCAAATGCTTAATGCACAGACTACCCTATTCCAGTAGCTGAAGTTTAGAACTTTTTAGACACTCAACCCACCAGGAGACTCGAACACTGGCCAACAAGGTGGCAGTTGCATGCTGTATCCACTACGCTATACTTCAAAGCCATAAGAGAGGTAGGAATTCTGGGGTATTTAACCAACCAGAAATTCCAATCCTCTCCCAGGCGATGAGATAGTGTGGGACCTCGGATGCTCTTTCATCGGTTCCTGTTATATGGGAAAACTCAGTGCCAAATGCTTAATGCACAGACTACCCTATTCCAGTAGCTGAAGTTTAGAACTTTTTAGACACTCAACCCACCAGGAGACTCGAACACTGGCCAACAAGGTGGCAGTTGCATGCTGTATCCACTACGCTATACTTCAAAGCCATAAAGAGAGGTAGGAATTCTGGGGTATTTAACCAACCAGAAATTCCAATCCTCTCCCAGGCGATGAGATAGTGTGGGACCTCGGATGCTCTTTCATCGGTTCCTGTTATATGGGAAAACTCAGTGCCAAATGCTTAATGCACAGACTACCCTATTCCAGTAGCTGAAGTTTAGAACTTTTTAGACACTCAACCCACCAGGAGACTCGAACACTGGCCAACAAGGTGGCAGTTGCATGCTGTATCCACTACGCTATACTTCAAAGCCATAAAGAGAGGTAGGAATTCTGGGGTATTTAACCAACCAGAAATTCCAATCCTCTCCCAGGCGATGAGATAGTGTGGGACCTCGGATGCTCTTTCATCGGTTCCTGTTATATGGGAAAACTCAGTGCCAAATGCTTAATGCACAGACTACCCTATTCCAGTAGCTGAAGTTTAGAACTTTTTAGACACTCAACCCACCAGGAGACTCGAACACTGGCCAACAAGGTGGCAGTTGCATGCTGTATCCACTACGCTATACTTCAAAGCCATAAGAGAGGTAGGAATTCTGGGGTATTTAACCAACCAGAAATTCCAATCCTCTCCCAGGCGATGAGATAGTGTGGGACCTCGGATGCTCTTTCATCGGTTCCTGTTATATGGGAAAACTCAGTGCCAAATGCTTAATGCACAGACTACCCTATTCCAGTAGCTGAAGTTTAGAACTTTTTAGACACTCAACCCACCAGGAGACTCGAACACTGGCCAACAAGGTGGCAGTTGCATGCTGTATCCACTACGCTATACTTCAAAGCCATAAAGAGAGGTAGGAATTCTGGGGTATTTAACCAACCAGAAATTCCAATCCTCTCCCAGGCGATGAGATAGTGTGGGACCTCGGATGCTCTTTCATCGGTTCCTGTTATATGGGAAAACTCAGTGCCAAATGCTTAATGCACAGACTACCCTATTCCAGTAGCTGAAGTTTAGAACTTTTTAGACACTCAACCCACCAGGAGACTCGAACACTGGCCAACAAGGTGGCAGTTGCATGCTGTATCCACTACGCTATACTTCAAAGCCATAAAGAGAGGTAGGAATTCTGGGGTATTTAACCAACCAGAAATTCCAATCCTCTCCCAGGCGATGAGATAGTGTGGGAAATACCTCAGGAATGCTCTTTCATCGGTTGGCTTTGAAGTATAGCGTATGGGACAGCATGCAACTGCCAGTTGGCCAAATTCGAGTCTCCTGGTGGGTTGATGTCTACAAAGTTCTAAACTTCAGCTATTCCAATAGGGTAGCTGATTAGTTTAGAACTATTTCTAAAGCATCCGAGCATCCGAGGTCCCACACTATCTCATCGCCTGGGAGAGGATTGGAATTTCTGGTTGGTTAAATACCCCAGAATTCCTACCTCTCTTTATGGCTTTGAAGTATAGCGTAGTGGATACAGCATGCAACTGCCACCTTGTTGGCCAGTGTTCGAGTCTCCTGGTGGGTTGAGTGTCTAAAAAGTTCTAAACTTCAGCTACTGGAATAGGGTAGTCTGTGCATTAAGCATTTGGCACTGAGTTTTCCCATATAACAGGAACCGATGAAAGAGCATCCGAGGTCCCACACTATCTCATCGCCTGGGAGAGGATTGGAATTTCTGGTTGGTTAAATACCCCAGAATTCCTACCTCTCTTATGGCTTTGAAGTATAGCGTAGTGGATACAGCATGCAACTGCCACCTTGTTGGCATATATATATATATATATATATATATATATATATATATATATATATATATATATATATATATATATATATATATATATATATATATATATATATATATATATATATATATATATATATATATATATATATATGCAAAATTAGGCCTAGAAAAATTATGGTTTGTTTTTACTTATATTTGTTATTTACTCCTTAAATTAATAGTAGACAGCCTGGTGTAATGGTGGTCTTTAGTTCTCTCGACCAAAACGTTACTTAAAGTACTATCGCCTCAGGAGTCTGCGTTGCTAAAAACAATGTGTCATCTCCTTGTCTGTGTCACACTCACACTCACATTCCATAAATGTTTACCTTAACACTGACAACATTTATATAGAGATGCAAGTAAAACATCCTGACTACTCACCGCCTTAAGTTCCTCATTGATTGCCTGCTCCAGTTTGAACCTTGGGAAGTAAAGATCTACGTTCTCCTCTTTCAGGTTGGTGAGGGCGTGGCGGAGGGTGTCGTGGGAGAGGCGCCGCAGCATAGCGTCCAGGGGCGTGGCGGAGTTGTCAGGGTCGCCACCGGGGGTGTTGTCAGGCAGCAACACCAACATGGACGCCGCCTTCCCCTTGTACGGCATCTCTAACACCGTCGAAATATTATATATATATATATATATATATATATATATATATATATATATATATATATATATATATATATATATATATATATATATACATATGCATTTACATATGCATATGTGTATATACCCTTACCAAATCTGAATTTTCGAAGTTGGGTCATCATGTCAACAAGGCTGTGTTGGCTCGGGGTGGTGAAGAACTTCTGCTTGGTTGTTTGGGTTAGGTTGAATTGATTCAACCAGAAACCTTTGAAGTAGACGGTGTTGACCAGCGCCATCAGTGTCGTGGCCACGTCGCTCTCTGTCACCACAGTTGGGATCTTGCCTCGCGTTGTTTTGTTCACGAACTGGTTGATTGTCGCAGCTGCTTTGGCCGCCTGTCAACATAACGATAAGATTAAGCTCAGTGCCTTTACGTGACTCTTCAATCCATCACATTATAAGCTGACAATAGTTTCTACCGACCTTTCAAGGGGGAGAGTTAGAGAAGTAACATAAAGAAGTTCTTTGGATTTTAAGAAAAAAGTTTTCTGAATCCAATTTCAGAGGATTGCAAGTTAACTGTTGTAGAGAATCTGAGCTCAGGTGTTCAGACAAGACCTTAGTGATGGTGCACAAGACACCATAAGACCACAGCTCAGGTGTTCAGACAAGACCTTAGTGATGGTGCACAAGACACCATAACATGGTGGTGACCACAGCTCAGGTGTTCAGACAAGACCTTAGTGATGGTGCACAAGACACCATAACATGGTGGTGACCACAGCTCAGGTGTTCAGACAAGACCTTAGTGATGGTGCACAAGACACCATAACATGGTGGTGACCACAGCTCAGGTGTTCAGACAAGACCTTAGTGATGGTGCACAAGATACCATAACATGGTGTCGTGTGTCATCACCATACCCTCCCCCTCATACCATCACCCTACCATCGGGAGGGGTGATGATACCCCATCATACCATCCACCCATACCATCTCCCCCCTCCTCACCATCACCCTACCCTCCTCCTCATACCATCACCCTACCCTCCCCCATCAACCTACCTTACCATTCCCCTCACACAATCACCCTACCCCCCTTCACACTATCACCCTACCCTCTCCCCCTCACAACATCACCCTCCCCTCCCCCTCACACCCTATCACACCTACCCTACTTTCCCATCACCCCCCCTCCCCCTCACACCATCACCTACCCTCCCCCGATCACACACATCACCCTTCCCCTCACACCATCACCCTACCCTCACCCTCACACAATCACCCTACTCTCCCCCTTACACCATCACCCTCCCCTCCCCTCCCCCCCCCCCCCCTCCCATCCACCACTCAACCCTCACCCTCACACAATCACCCTACCCTCTCGCCTCACACCACAACCCTACCCTACCCCTCACACTACCACCCTACCCTCCCCACCTCACACTATCTCCCTATCCTCCCCTCCCCCCTCACATCCACCACACTACCCTCCCTCTCACACCATCACCTTCCCCTTCCCCTGACGCCATAACCCTCCTTCCCCCACACTCCCTCTCCCTCTCCCTACCCCTCTCCCCTCACACCATCACCCTACCCTTCCACCTCACACCATCACCCTACCCTCCCCTCCCCTCCCATTACCCTCCCCCTCACACCGTCACCCTACCCTCTCCCCTCACTCCATCACCCTACCCTACCCCGTCATACCCATCACCCTTCCTTCCCCTCACACCATCACCCTACCCTCCCCCTCTCACCTATCACCCTACCCTCCCCCTCACACCTATCTCCCTACCATCCCCCTCACCCTCTTCACCCTACCCTCCCCCTCACCCCATCACCCTACCCTCCCCCTTCACACCCATCACTCTACCCTCCCCCTTCACACCCATCACCCTACCCTCCCCTGTCACCCTCATCATCCTACCCTCCCTCCCCCCTCCCCCCATTACCCTACTCTCCCCCCCCCTCACCCCCATCACCCTACCCACCCCCTACCCTGCCCTACCCTCACCTTCATCGCCCTACCTTTCCCGCACCCTCAAGTATCCTACCCTGCTCTCACACTGGTGACGAGTCGGAGATATACCCTACTCTATTCTGCTGTCACACTGGTATCGAGGCCAGGAGATACTCTTGAAGTACTCTATCCTGCTGTCACACTGGTAACGAGGTCTTGAGTGACTCTGGCAGAACCCTACCCTACTGTCACAAAGGTGACGAGGCACCACTTGACAGCTTGTTTTCTAAAAATCACCACCTTCCTCGTCGCTTCCAGCTTGCCCTTGCCTCCCTGAAATCTAACAATTCTATTCTTATCCTTCCCTCCGACAAAGGCAATTCGGTGGTTGTTCTTGACCGTGAAGACTACCTCCAGAAAGCAGATGTCCTGCTCTCTTACTCCCGCACTTATGCCCACTGACTTCTAACCCTTTGGATCGCCTTAAAACTTCCTTTAACCGCAAACTAAGACAGCTCTCTAGTCTTTGTCCTCCTGACTTCGATCTCAATAAACGTTTCCGTGTCATCTGCCCTTCTCTTCCTTATTTTTAGGGTCTATCTAAGACTCATAAACCTGGTGTTCCTCTTCGTCCAATCATTTATTCACGGGGCTCTGTCAGCTATCCTCTTGCCTACTGGCTCGCTAAAACCCTGACGCCTTACCTTGGCACTTTTTCTCCTGCCCACCTTCATCACGCTCAGGACTTAATAGAAAGACTGCGCCTGTAGCCGTCCTGTAAGATGCTTAGTCATGATGTCGACTCTCTGTTCACTAATGTTCCCCTCGATGACGTTCTCTCTTTCCTTAGACAGAAGGCTACTGGGGTCCTTCTTCCTCTCCCGCTTCCCACTGACGTTTTCCTTAAACTCATTAGACTCTGTGTTGACTCTCCTTCTCTTTCAATGGTAAATATTACACTCAAACTCGGTGTCGCTATCGGTTCCCCTCTCTCCCCTGTTCTTGCCAATTTCTACATGGAATACTTCGAGACTGTTCTTCTTCTACCTCTTCCTTCTGTTGATACTCGTCCCTCTCTCTGGCTTCGCTATGTTGATGACATTTTTTCTTTATCGCCTCATGACCTTCGTCTTTTCCAGCCTTTCCTCTCCTCTCTTAACAATCAGGCTCCTTCCATCCATTTCAAAGTTGAATGGGAATCTAATTCCCTCCTTCCTTTCCTTGACGTTCACGTTCACAGCTCTGTGTCCGGGTTCTCTTTCTCTGTCTACCGCAAACCCCTGCATAGCGGCATGTACATTCACTTCTTTTCCTACCATCCTCCTTCTGTTAAGAAAAGTGTCCTCGTCTCTCTCTTCCTCCGCGCTCTACGCATCAGCGACCCTCAGTTTCTTGATTCTGAAATTGCCTTTATCTACAAATCATTCTCTCGCCTTGGTTACCCTTTGTATTTTATATACTGTGCCTACTCTCAAGCTAATCGAAATTTCTTTCATGCTAAACCTGCTTCCAACTCTAGTAGCACTGTGCTCTGCCTTCCCTTCATATCTGAACTCAAAACGTTTACTAATACCTTTCATCCTCTTGACATAATTCGCAGCAATCTAGTTCACACTGCTCCTCCTGCTTCTAATGCCGCTGGTGTCTAATCTATTTCCTGTTCGTCTTGTCCTCTCCAATACTTAGGTGAAACTGGCCGTACACTTAATGACAGACTTAAAGAACACAAAGAAGTGTTAAGTCTGCAGACACAAACAATGCTCTCGTCTGTCATGTTTGGGATTCTAATCATTTTATTGACTGGTCTTCCTTCAAAATAATCTTTCCTGCCTCTACAGAGACGCCGTCGTGTTGAATCGGCTCTGATACACAACATAACCAACATGAACTTGAGTCCTGGTTTTATTGCTGTTGACTCTCACCTTTCACAGTATATACTCAACTGCTCTAAACTTTCTAACAAGCGTGACCTAACGTAGGCTTACCCTTCCATTTATCTTAGTTTGTTTCTTTCTTTCTTTTCCTTGTTTTCTCTAACGATCCCTTTTTTTATTTCTTTATTATATTTTAATTATTTCTTATTCCTTTATTTTTTAAGAATTATTTCTTATTCCTTTATTTTTTAAGAATTATTTCTTATTCCTTTATTATACTTTACCTTTCGTACCTTTTGCCTTGCTTTTTCCTCCTCTATGATTTCCTTCTCCTTATCTCTCTCTTGCCAATTTTTTCTCATCACAATCGACTTGAGAATGGTATATCTAGGATATCTTGAGATGATTTCAGGGCTTAGCGTCCCCGCGGCCCGGTCCTCAACCAGGCCTCCTTTTTGTTACATACCCCCAGGAAGCAGCCCGTAGCAGCTGGGCTGCTACAGGCTGTTTCTGGGGTATGGGGGCTCTGCGGGTACCTGGGCCCGTACCCAGCAGGTACGGGCCCAGGTACCTATTTACTGCTAGGTAACAGGGGCATCAGGGTGAAAGAAACTTTTTGCCCATTTGTCTCCGCCTCCATCGGGGATCGAACCCGGAACCTCAGGACTATGAATCCGAAGCGCTATCCACTCATCTCTCTGGCGCCCGTACAGGACGGGCCGAAACGTCGTCTTCCCTTCACTTTCTAATGTGGGTTTGGTCAACATATTTCAGTCACGTTATTGTGACTCCTCGTCTGCACTCTAGAAGTTCTCTACCCTGCTGTAGCGCTGTTGACGAGGCTAGGAGAAACTCGTGAAGTGCTCTACCCTGTTGTCACACTGTTGACGAGGCCAGAAGATACTATAGAAGTACTCTACCCTGCTGTCACACTGTTGACGAGGCTAGGAGATACTGTAGAAGTACTCTACCCTGCTGTCACACTGGTAACGAGGACTCTTGAGGACTTGAGGGACTCTTGAAGTACTCTACCCTGAGGTAACGAGGACTTGAGGGACTCTTGAAGTACTCTACCCTGCTGTCACACTGGTCAACGACTTGAGGGACTCTTTGAAGTACTCTACCCTGCTGTCACACTGGTAACGAGGACTTGAGGGACTGAAAGTACTCTACCCTGCTGTCACACTGGTAACGAGGACTTGAGGGACTCTTGAAGTACTCTACCCTGCTGTCACACTGGTAACGAGGACTTGAGGGACTCTTGAGGCTGTCACTCTGGTAACGAGGACTTGAGGGACTCTTGAAGTACTCTACCCTGCTGTCACACTGGGGACGAGGCCTTGAGGGACTCTTTGAAGTACTCTACTCTGCTGTCACACTGGTGACGAGGCCTTGAGGGACTCTTGAAGTACTCTACCCTGCTGTCACACTAGTAACGAGGACTTGAGGGACTCTTGAAGTTCTCTACCCTACTGTCACACTGGGGACGAGACCAGGAGGCTTCATGTGAATTATAATATTTCACAAATAAATATAGACAGAAGGTGATATGCAGAAATAGACTGACCTGTGAGAAGTCGATATTCTCCACCTCTTTCTTAAGGACATCTCTGATGCAGTCCCGAAGAGGGAAGCCGCTCTTCACATACACTTTGTTGGCCAAGTCTATCACATAGTCACTCGTGTTGCTCTGTCTCTCTGCGGTTCTGTAGGGGCATCTTAATTATTATATATAATACATGCTTTTATAAACGCTCATAAATAACAAGTTAAAGAGGACTCAAATATTCAATTATACATATAATAATTAAGATGACAAGTAAGGAATGTGAGTGGACTCACAGACGGTCGAGGGCCCTGTAGGTAGCCAGAGTGGTTGAAGGGTCTCTGAGACGAAGGGTGTCCTGCAGCTGCTGACGAGTCCTGCCAGCAGACCCAAAGTAGGCCAGGACCAGGGCGGTCCACACGCTGTAGGGCGAGAAGAAAAAGTTTCCTGTGGCGGTGGGTGGATAGAGCTGCTTGAAGAGGTCCAAGCTGAAGGGGGTGATGTAGGCCAGGTCAGGTGGGGGGGTCACCACCAGCTTGTCATTGTTGGAGATACACTGAGGCCTCACCACACTCACCATCGTCACCACCAACACTGCTGCACACCACAGCTTCCTCATACTGTGGGGAAGAGGACTGTAGCAGCGGCGCTCCACCAACACTGATGACTACTTTATTATATTACAAATACCAATATCGTAATGAATTAAATATTTATACAAGTAGAAGCTCGCAGTCGTGTGAGGAGAGTTGTGGTGTAATAGTTTTGTTGGTGATGGGTGGTGGTGATGGAGGGTGGGGGGGGGGGGAGCGGGGTGCGGGGTGGTGGTGATGGATGGTAGTGATGGGTGCAGGTGATGGGGTGCTGGTAATGGACGGTGGTGATGGGTGGTGGTGATAGATGGTGGTGATGGGTGGTGGTGATGGGTGGTGGTGATGAACGGTGGTGATGGGTGGTGGTGATAGATGGTGGTGATGGGTGGTGGACGATATGTGGTCACCCACTATAGACACTATACACTCACCCACTACACACACACACACACACACACACACACACACACACACACACACACACACACACACACACACACACACACACACACACACACACACACACACATACGCACGCACACACACACACACACACACACACACACACACACACACACACACACACACACACACACACACACACACACACACACACACACTCACATACCGACGTTGGGTGGTTACTGTGATCAATGGTACAGTAAATTAGTGAACTGTAACACAACGATACAGTGACTGACTCCAGAGCTTTGTGTAGACATCTAATCTAGCACTTAGTGAATCACCAAGTGGGAGACAACGACGGATTACCTTCGTCATCCATACAGCGTCATTACTCATCTGGTTGTGTGAGCGGGAGGCAGACTGGTATGTACCCCTCACTGGTCAACTAATCAGGTGTACAGATTGAGGTAAAATATTATCAAATTCTTGTTCATGATATCATATATATATTTAAAAATCTCAAAGTGGCTCATTTTAGGTAGAAGTTAACGCTTACGGGACCCCCGTAACACACGCACGCACGCACATGTACGTTTGCAAGCACACACGCACGCACACGCAAAAATAAACACACGCACGCACACTTGCTTGATCTGATATTTACCCTAAATGCGTCGGATATAAAGGAAGTTAAGTTGGAAGTCCCCTTGGGAATGAGTGATCATAGTGTATTGAGCTTTGAGTACCTGGTTGAGCTAGGAATTATCACCCCCCAAAAAAGAACTGGGAAACAAAGGGCTGGCGTACCGAAAGGGAAACTATGAGGAGATGAATAAATTCCTATGGGATATACATTGGGACACAGAACTCGGAACCAAGTCCGTACAAGACATGATGGACTATGTCACCCAAAAATGTCAGGAGGCTGTAAGCAGGTTTGTCCCAGCACGACAGGAAAAAACAGAGAAGCAAAGGAAGAATTCGTGGTTTAATAGGGAATGTATGAAAGCAAAGGAGCTGAACAAAAGGGCATGGAGGAACTCCCGTAATAACAGAACACCAGAAAAGAGAGAGAGATACCAGAGAACCAGGAACGAGTATGTTAATGTGAGAAGAGCAGCTGAGTAAAGGTATGAAAATGATATAGCTAATAAAGCCAAGACTGAACCAAAGCTACTACACAGTCACATCAGGAGGAAGACAACAGTGAAGGAACAGGTGATGAAACTTAGGGTGGGCGAGGACAGGTACACAGAGAAAGACAAAGAGGTGTGTGAAGAACTCAACAAAAGGTTCCAAAAGGTCTTTACAATAGAACAGGGAGAAGTCACGGCGCTAGGAGAGGTGGCAGCAAACAAGGTGACCTTGGAGAGGTTCGAAATTACAAAAGATGAAGTCAAGAAACACCTATTGGAGCTGGATGTGAGAAAAGCTGTTGGGCCGGACGGAATCTCACCATGGGTATTGAAAGAGTGTGCAGGAGCACTTTGCTTGCCACTCTCCATAGTGTATAGTAGGTCACTGGAAACGGGAGACCTACCAGAAATATGGAAGACTGCTAATGTAGTACCAATATACAAAAAGGGTGACAGACAAGAGGCACTGAACTACAGGCTAGTGTCCTTAACTTGTATACCATGCAAGGTGATGGAGAAGATTGTGAGAAAAAACCTAGTAACACATAAGGAGAGAAGAGACTTCGTGACAACCCATCAACATGGGTTTAGGGAGGGTAAATCTTGCCTTACAGGCTTGATAGAATTCTACGATCAGATGACAAAGATTAAGCAAGAAAGAGAAGGATGGGCGTACTGCATTTTTTTGGACTGTCGGAAAGCCTTTGACACAGTACCCCATAAAAGGTTGATGCATAAGCTGGAGAAACAGGCAGGAGTAACTGGTAGGGCGCTCCAGTGGATAATGAGTACCTAAGCAACAGGAAGCAGAGAGTTACAGTGCGGGGTGAGACCTCAGAATGGCGTGAAGTCACCAGTGGAGTCCCACAGGGCTCTGTACGTGGACGTATCCTGTTTCTGATATACGTAAATGATCTCCCAGAGGGTATAGACTCATTCCTCTCAATGTTTGCTGACGACGCCAAAATTATGAGAAGGATTAAGACAGAGGAGGACAGCTTGAGGCTTCAAGAAGACCTGGATAAGCTGCAGGAATGGTCGAACAAATGGCTGTTAGAGTTTAACCCAAGCAAATGTAATGTAATGAAGATAGGGGTAGGAAGCAGGAGACCAGATACAAGGTATCATTTGGGAGATGAAATACTTCAAGAGTCAGAGAGAGAGAGAAAGATCTGGGGGTTGATATCACGCCAGACCTGTCCCCTGAAGCTCATATCAAGAGGATAACATCTGCAGCATATACCAGGTTGGCTAACATAAGAACGGCCTTTAGAAACTTGTGTAAGGAATCATTCAGAACATTAAATACCACATATGTCAGACCAATCCTGGAGTATGCGGCTCCAGCATGGAGTCCATATCTAGTCAAGCATAAGACTAAGCTGGAAAAGGTTCAAAGGTTTGCCACCAGACTAGTACCCGAGCTGAGAGGTATGAGCTACGAGGAGAGACTACGGGAATTAAACCTCACTTCGTTGAAAGACAGATGGGTTAGGGGGGACATGATCACTACATTCAAAATTCTCAAGGGATTCGACAGGGTTGATAAAGACAGGCTATTTAACACAAGGGGCACACGCACTAGGGGACACAGGTGGAAACTGAGTGCCCAAATGAGCCACAGAGATATTAGAAAGAACTTTTTTAGTGTTAGAGTGGTTAACAAATGGAATGCATTAGGAAGTAATGTGGTGGAGGCTGACTCCATTCACAGTTTCAAGTGTAGATATGATAGAGCCCAATAGGCTCAGGAACCTGTACACCTGTTGATTGACGGTTGAGAGGCGGGCCCAAAGAGTCAGAGCTCAACCCCCACAAGCACAACTAGGTGAGTACCTACCACAGCCACCCACACACTTAGGGTACTCCGGTGGATAAGGAATACCTAAGCAACAGGAGACAACGAGTCTGTGTGAGGGGTGAAGTCTCAGATTGGCGTGACGTCACAAGTGGAGTCCCGCAGGGGTCAGTCCTCGGACCTATACTGTTTCTGATATATGTAAATGATCTCCCAGAGGGTATAGATTCGTTCCTCTCAATGTTTGCCGACGATGCCAAAATTATGAGGAGGATTGAGACAGAGGATGATAGCTTGAGGCTACAAGATGACCTGGATAGACTGCAGTGAATGGTCCAACAAATGGCTGTTGAAGTTCAACCCGAGTAAATGCAATGTAATGAAACTAGGCAGTGGAAACAGGAGGCCAGATACAGGATATCAGAATGGGAGATGAAGTACTTAATGAGTCAGACAGAGAGAAAGATCTAGGAGTTGATATCACACCAGACCTGTCTCCTGAAGCCCATATCAAGAGGATAACGTCTGCGGCATATGCGAGGCTGGCTAACATCAGAACGGCGTTCAGGAACCTGTGTAAGGAATCATTCAGAACATTGTACACCACATATGTCAGACCAATCCTGGAGTATGCGGCCCCAGCATGGAGTCCGTACCTAGTCAAGCACAAGACGAAGCTGGAAAAGGTCCAAAGGTATGCTACTAGACTAGTCCCAGAACTAAGAGGCATGAGTTATGAGGAAAGGCTGCGGGAAATGCACCTCACGACACTGGAAGACAGAAGAGTTAGGGGGGACATGATCACAACCTACAAAATCCTCAGGGGAATCGACCGGGTAAACAAGGACGAACTTTTCAACACAAGTGGCACACGCACAAGGGGACACAGGTGGAAATTGAGTGCCCAAATGAGCCACAGAGACGTTAGAAAGAACTTTTTCAGTGTCAGAGTAGTTGACAAATGGAATGCATTAGGAAGTGATGTGGTGGAGGCTGACTCCATAAACAGTTTCAAGTGTAGATATGATAGAGCCCAATAGGCTCAGGAATCTGTACATTAGTTGATTGACGGTTGAGACACGGGACCAAAGAGCCAGAGCTCAACCCCCGCAAGCACAACTAGGTGAGTACCTACCACAGCCACTCACACACTCACCCATTACTCTCTCTCTCTCTCTCTCTCTCACACACACACACACACACACACACACACACACACACACACACACACACACACACACACACACACACACACACACACACACACACACAGGAACCAGGAACCACTGGAAGAGTTTGAGATTACCAGTGGGGAAGTAAGGAAGTGTTTACTAGAGTTGGACGTGACGAAGGCTATAGGCCCAGATGGAATCTCCCCTTGGGTTCTAAGGAAGGAGCAAGAGAACTGAGCCTACCACTCTCCATAGTGTATAACAAATCACTGGCAACAGGGGAACTGCCAGATACTTGGAAAGCAGCTAACGTAGTCCCGATATACAAGAAAGGGGATAGACAGGAGGCACTGAACTACAGGCCAGTGTCCCTAACCTGCATACCATGCAAGCTGATGGAGAAGATTGTGCGAAAAAAACTAGTGGAGCATCTGGAGCGAAGGAACTTTGTAACACAGCATCAACATGGGTTCAGGGATGGCAGGTCCTGCCTCACAGGGTTACTTGAATTCTACG